TTTTTTTAAAACCATGTTTTCTTTTGATATGTTGCAGGTGGTCTTTCGTTGCTTTGGATAGAGCGGTTTGGTTGGTGTTTTCAGTTCTGTTAAGTAAGGGGTGAGTTTCTAGGCTGAAATTTCAATTAATTGTTTTAAGTTTTATGAATAGAGCATAGGAATTAGCTAATGGCATCAATTGGCAATTAGTTTGTGTTAATTTGTTATTGTAATGATAGGTTTAGATGATTACAATATTTGAACATGTTGGTAGACCCTGAGTATTTTGGCAACTGGGTAGTTGAGATGTTCCCGGCCTATTTTCATCGCTTTATACACATTTCACGCAATTTTAAAACCAGCAGCATCGCGCGGGCACCTTTTGCTAGTTAAAAACTAAATCAAGCTTGCTTTGCGTGTATAGATTTGTTAAAGAACACCACAAGAGAATATACATCAACAAACAGAAACAGAGATGATGATGACAACATTTGTATGCAAGTAAAAAGGCTATTCCATGAACTATGTGCCCCAGAGCACAAGTCCAAAATGTCCTATATAAATTGGGAGCATGAACAATTATAGTTGGGACTGTCAATAATATAAGACGAAACAAAGTCTCCATTTTTTACCCTAACACCTGAAGATTGCTTGGATCACACTGACCTAAAACACATCCTATTGCATAACTTGAGAGTCTAAACAGACAACAAAAGTTTTCTCCATGAGCACAGTGCACTGGAACTTGCATTACCAGTTGCGAAGGTTCGTTGAGCAGACAAAAGATTTTGCCGCTCAGAAATCAGAAGCAAGCTTATACGTGTACATTTGGTTTTAAGGCAGAAACTCAATACATGCCAAATAAAGCAAGCGAAATATTTTTACTGAAACCAAAACAATAATACATGTGAAAATGAGGGAGATGCACAACGTTCTCCCAGACTTTAGTTTTTCTTTCAACAGAAATTCGGAAAACAGAGGGGAGAAAAACTTAATTATATCAACATGAAGCATTTTTTTTTAGCAGAACATTTAAAAAGAAAAAATAAATTAAAAATCAAAACCCAAGTGCTACGTGTGAAGAGATATCAAAGGGAGAGAGAGATCGAGAGCGATCGAGGAAGGGAGAAATCCTAGAGCGATCGAAGGGAGAGATTGTAGAGCGATACGCATTTTGACACGTGGCGCCTAATTGCTTTTTTTATAATTAAAAATAATAAAGCCGGCGGCTATACTCGGTGTTTTTAATTTTTTTATAAAATAGTATAGCCGGACGGCTATACTTGTTTACACGTGGTGCCTAAATTAAAAATAATACAGCCGGACGGCTATACTCGGCGTTTTTAATTTTTTTATAAAATAGTATAGCCGGTCGGCTATACAGTTTTACACGTGGCGCCTGCTCGTTAGACTGATCCTCTTTTTTAATAATAAATAGTATAGCCCTGCTGTTTTTTTTTAAATGGTACAGCCGACCGGCTATACGCTGCGTTTAATTTTTTTTTGAAAACAATATAGCCGGTCGGCTATACTCTTTGCAGGGGGGCCTACTCGCTAGACCGATTCTAGGTTTTTAATAGTATAGCCGCTCGGCTGTACTGCTTGTGACGCGTCCACCAAGGTGGAGATCGTAGAGCGAACGAAGAGAGAAATCAAAGAACGAACGAAGGGAGAGAACGAGGAGCGATCGAATAGCTGCCGAAGAGATTAGTACATCTGGTTTCTGTGATATATTTAAGCGACGGAATGAAAATCAAGCCAGATATTGATCTCGTTTTCTCGGAAACCAAACAGCTAAGAACTGCAACAAATAAAAAAGCATAAGTTAACACTACTGTATCAGATTGAGGAATAACAAAGGAATCAACTCTAAATTTCATATACACTTTTCAACAGTTAAATACACAAAGGAATAACAAACTCTTGTTTGAAATCCTAAAGGATAAAGCAGTTTGAAACTATCTCCTAACTCTAAGGAACAACTATTTGGATGAATGCAAACTGGAGAAACTAACGGGCTAATATTATCTGTACAATGAATTCAAAATGAAGAGACTAACGGACTGGTACAAGTGGTTACAATCCTCTGATATGCCCCCTCAAGATGGAGCTCGAGATCGAAGTCCAATCTTGAATTTGAGATCCAGAAAACGAACACGGTGCAGAGGCTTGGTAAGTGCATCTGCGAGCTGATCTGCGGAGGATACATGAGCAACCCGAAGGACACCATTCTGTACCTGGTTCCTGATGAAGTGAAAGTCAACAGCAACATGTTTCATTCTGGAGTGAAACACGGGATTGGAACAGAGTTGGGTGGCTCCAACATTGTCGCAATAAATAACGGGACAGCAAGGCAGTTGAACACCAAGATCAGTGAGGAGATAGCAAAGCCAGTTGAGCTCAGCAGCTGCATTGGCTACTGACCTGTACTCAGCTTCAGTGGAAGACCTTGCAACATATTTTTGCTTGTTAGAACTCCAGGAGACTGGATTAGACCCAAGATAGGTGACATAAGCACTGGTGGATGAAAAATCATTCTTGTCACCTGCCCAGTCGGCGTCTGAATAGGCGTGGAGATTCAATGGGGATTGACGATGTATTTGGAGACCTTCATTAATAGTGCCACAGAGATAACGTAAGAGACGTTTAACAAAGCTCCAATGGTCGGTGGTTGGAGTGTGCATGTACTGAGAGAGTTTGTTAACCGCAAATGCAAGGTCTGGTCTCGTAATCAAGAGATACTGAAGGCTGCCAACAACAGTTCTGTACTCGGTGGGATCAGGTAAAGCAGAGCCTGACTTTAGCAACGGTGGGCTAGTTGGAATGGGAGTGAGCACAGGTTTGGCATCAGTCATATTAGTTCTAGAGAGAATGTCCAAAATGTAACGCCGTTGAGATAATAAAATACCATGCTGATTGGGGACTACCTCCACACCCAAAAAATAAGACAGCTGGCCAAGATCCTTAATTGAAAACCGATTAGCAAGAACATCAACAAAGGAGTCAATCATCTTAGTGTTGTCGCCAGTGATGATTAAGTCGTCCACATAGACAAGTATATACATATGGTGGCCAGCAATATTGAGAACAAATAGAGAGGTATCTGCATGGGAATTTTTGAAGCCAGAGTAAAGAAGAAAAGTGCGAAGTTCATGATACCATGCTCTTGGTGCTTGTTTGAGGCCATAGATGGCCTTCCGAAGTTTGCAGACATAAGATGGATGATCTTGATCAACAAAACCTGGGGGTTGTTGCATGTGGACATGCTCGGAGAGGTGGCCTTGGAGAAAGGCATTGTTGACATCAAGTTGACGCAAGGACCAACCCCGAGATACAGCAAGACTGAGGACAACACGAACTGTTGTTGGTTTGACAACAGGGCTGAAAGTGTCTAGATAATCAACGCCTGGTCTTTGGTGAAAGCCTTTTGCGACCAAACGTGCTTTGAACCTGTCAATAGAGCCATCAGAGTTACGTTTAATTCTAAACACTCCACATAGACAAGTATATACATATGGTGGCCAGCAATATTGAGAACAAATAGAGAGGTATCTGCATGGGAATTTTTGAAGCCAGAGTAAAGAAGAAAAGTGCGAAGTTCATGATACCATGCTCTTGGTGCTTGTTTGAGGCCATAGATGGCCTTCCGAAGTTTGCAGACATAAGATGGATGATCTTGATCAACAAAACCTGGGGGTTGTTGCATGTGGACATGCTCGGAGAGGTGGCCTTGGAGAAAGGCATTGTTGACATCAAGTTGACGCAAGGACCAACCCCGAGATACAGCAAGACTGAGGACAACACGAACTGTTGTTGGTTTGACAACAGGGCTGAAAGTGTCTAGATAATCAACGCCTGGTCTTTGGTGAAAGCCTTTTGCGACCAAACGTGCTTTGAACCTGTCAATAGAGCCATCAGAGTTACGTTTAATTCTAAACACTCATTTACATCCAACTACATTTTGTGTGGAATCTGGTGGAACAAGTTCCCATGTCCCGTTTCTAACTAAAGCATCACACTCATCAGACATGGCTTTACGCCACTTTGGATCTTTAAGGGCAGTAGACACGGTGGTTGGCTCAAGGTCATTGGATTTTGAGAGTTGAGTAAGAAGGTTCATTTTAGTGATGGGTTTGTGAATGTGGTTTTTAGCTCGGGTGGTCATTGAGTGAGTTGGAAGGGGATGAGGGTCGAGTGGGTTAGGAGGTGACTTTAGGATTTGTGGTGAGGGGGTTGAATTGGTTGAGGATGTCAAGGAGGGTTGGTGTGAGCGGGGGGGCTGGTTTGTGTTGGGGGATGGAACCTGTACTAGAGTGGGTGTTGGAGCTGCACTTAGAGGTTGCTGAGGGACGATGACTTCAAATGGCATAGTGAGTGGCGGCTAGGAAGAGGGTGAGAGAATTGTAATTGGTGCAGGAATCCAAGTGGCAATGGGGTTGGGATGATGACTAGAGGACGGACCAAACAGTGAAGAGTAAGGAAACTGCGATTCAACAAATTTGACATGTCGTGAGACATAAATTTTGGAGGTTGAAGGATCAAGGCAGTAGTATGCACTTTGAGTGAGAGAGTACCCAAGGAAAACACATGGCTTGGATCGTGACTCAAGTTTGCGTGAGGTGTAAGGTTTGAGCCAAGGATAGCATAAGCAGCCAAAGACCTTTAATTTCGAGTAGTTTGGGGCTGTTTGAAAGATTTTGTGGTAGGGGGAGGAGAGATTTAAAGTGGGAGTGGGCATTCTGTTGATGAGGTAGACGGCTGTGGCAAAGGCATAGGTCCAGTAGGAGATTGGTAAAGAAGCATGAGTGAGGAGGGCAAGGCCGGTTTCAACGATGTGAAGGTGCCTCCTTTCGGAGTAACCATTGTGTTCAGGTGTATGAGGGTGAGAGAGTACCCAAGGAAAACACATGGCTTGGACCGTGACTCAAGAGTGTGTGAGGTGTAAGGTTTGAGCCAAGGATAGCATAAGCAGCCAAAGACCTTTAATTTCGAGTAGTTTGGGGCTGTTTGAAAGATTTTGTGGTAGGGGGATGAGAGATTTAAAGTGGGAGTGGGCATTCTGTTGATGAGGTAGACGGCTGTGGCAAAGGCATAGGTCCAATAGGAGATTGGTAAAGAAGCATGAGTGAGGAGGGCAAGGCCGGTTTCAACGATGTGAAGGTGCCTCCTTTCGGAGTAACCATTGTGTTCAGGTGTATGAGGAGGGGTGGTGAGATGAGAGATACCGTTGGTGGAAAGAAAATTAGAAAGGGAAATGTACTCACCACCATTGTCAGAGTAAAGTGTTTTGATGGTGGAATGGAAGTGTTTTTCTACAATG